TCTGTCGTCCAGGCTGAAGTACAGTGGCGTCATCTGGGCTCACTGAAACCCCCACCTCCCGTGTTCAAGTGATTCTCCTGCCTCAACCCCTGAGTTGCTGGGACTACAGACACACACCACCACACCCAGCTAATTTTGGTATTTTTAGTAGAGACAGGGTTCCCTTATGTTGGCCGGACTGGTGTTGAACTCCTAGCCTCAAGTGATCTGCCTGCCTCGGCCTCCCAAAGTGCTAGGATTACAGGCCTGAACCCCTGCACCTGTCCTATGTTATACTCTTAATTCTGTTAGTTCCCATCTCTTCTCAAGTGTCAGATAATTTTAGTACTATAAAGAGTTGTGTCTTCCATGAATTTCCAGGGTAATTCTTAAGTCTTATCCCTCCAAATATTGATGTCCCCCCATTATCTGTATTCTCTCCTGCAACTCACTATGAGTTGTATAGTGAACCTCCTATTTCTTTCTCTGTTTTTTTTTTGTTGTTGTTGTTTTGTTGTTTTTTTTTTGAGACAGTGTCTTGGTTGCCCAAATGTGAGTGCAATGGTACAGTCATGGCTCATTGCAGCTTCTCAGGATCAAGCAATCCTCTCACTTCAGCCTCCTAAATAACTGGAACTATAGGGGCACACCATCATGCCTGCCTAATCTTTTTATTTTTGTAGAGATGGGGTCTCACTGTGTTGCCCAGGCTGGTCTCAAACACCTGAGCTCAAGCAATCCTTCCACCTCGGCCCCTCATGAGCCTCCTATTCCTATTTCCATTTGTCAGTGGTTCTCTAACTATCTGTCGTGAAAGACCAGTTTGTTTTAATTTCCAGTTAATATGGACCATTATTTTTGTAAAATATAAGAATGTCACAACAATATTAAATTGCTGTAAAAGTTTCTAAATGCTTATTCTCATCTTCTGTACCATCAACCACTAACAGTTTGTGAATCGGCACTGTGGACAAACTTGTATTAGCACTGCTCTGTGTCCCTTAACCTTAGTTTCGTAATTTATCTTTCTGCACTATATTCTAGGTAATTTTTTCAGATCTGCTTTCTAGTTCTCTTATCTCGTGCCTAATCTATTTAAGCTATCTATTGATTTTTTTATTAATGACTACTTTTCATTTCCAGATGTTATATTTTTTTTTCCATTATACCTTCTTTTCAACATGGTACCACCTTTTCCTTTTTTGTCATTAATCATGTAAAAATTCTTCATTTATAATCAATTTCAGATTTCTTTGTTATCTTCAATTCTTAGGGTGCTAATCTTTCAAGGTGTATTGTGTCTCCTAACTCTTTTATGGTCAGTTATTTTGCTTTTATTTTTTATTTGTAAACAACTTATCTGCAGGAAGTACTGTATTTCTCAGAGCATTATAGAAGCATATTAGAAACTGGCTTTTGTACTTTTTTGGCACTTTTTTGGCACTTTTATTAGGTACTCCAGAGATTTCACCATTCTAAGAGCTGTTATTTTACATTCATTTCTCGACTTGGGGACTCCTATATCACAGAGGCCATGTACATTGATCCCACACATTGAGAAACTCCCTACATTCCAGTCTGGGCAACAGCGTGAGACCCTGTCTCAAAACAACAACAGTAACAAAAGACCTTTTTTTCCTTGTTATTTTTTTAACCCTCCTGGGCAAGAGAAGTACAAGGGGTTGGAGAATTCCCTTTCCTAGCTAAAGGACACCGTAACAGACGGGACCTGGAAAATCGGGACACTCCCACCCTAATACTGTGCTGTACCAACAGGCTTAGCAAATAACACACCAGGAGATTATACACCGCACCTAGCTCGGAGGGTCCCACACCCACAGAGCCTCGCTTACTGCTAGCCCAGCAGTCTGAGATCGAACTGCAAGGTGGCAGCAAGGCTGGGGAAGGGGAATCCGCCATTGCTGAGGCTTGAGTAGGTAAAAAAGTGACCAAGAAGTGTGAACTGGGTTGAGCCCACTGCAGCTTTGGGAGGCCTGCCTGTCTCTGTCGACTCCCCTCTGGGGGCAGGGCATAGCTGAAAAAAAGGCAGCAGAAACTTCTGCAGACTTAAATGTCCCTGTCTGACAGCTTGGAAGAGAGTAGTGGTCCTCCCAGCATGGAGTTTGAAATCTGAGAACAGACAAATGGCCTCCTCAAGTGGGTCCCTGACCCCCGAGTAGCCCAACTGGGAGAGACCTCCGCCAACTGACACCTCATACAGCCGGGTGCCCCTCCAAGACGAAGCTTCCACATGAATGATGAGGCAGCAACATTTGCCGTTCTGCAGTATTTGCAGTTCTGCAGCCTCCGCTGGTGATACCCAGGCAAACAGGGTCTGGAGTGGACCTCCAGCAAACTCCAACAGACCTGCAACTGAGGGTCCTGACTGTTAGAAGGAAAACTAACAAACAAAAAGGACATCCACACCAAAACCCCATCTGTATGTCACCATCACCAAAGACCAAAGTTAGATAAAAGCCCAAAGATGGGGAGAAACCAGAGAAGAAAAGCTGAAAACTAAAAATCAGAGCACCTCTTCTCCAATGGAACGCAGCTCCTCACCAGCAACAGAACAAAGCTGGACAGAGAATGACTTAGACAAATTGAGAGAAGAAAGCTTCAGACAATCGGTAATAACAGACTTCTCCAAGCTAAAGGAGGATGTTCGAACCCATCGCAAAGAAGCTAAAAACCTTGAAAAAAGATTAGACGAATGGCTAACTAGAATAAACAACGTAGAGAAGACCTTAAATGATCTGATGGAGCTGAAAACCATGGCACGAGAAGTACGTGATGCATGCATAAGCTTCAGTAGCCGATTTGATCAAGTGAAAGAAAGGGTATCAGTGATTGAAGATCAAATGAATGAAATGAAGCAAGAAGAGAAGTTTAGAGAAAAAGAGTAAAAAGAAATGAACAAAGCCTCCAAGAAATGTAAGACTATGTAAAAAGACCAAATCTACGTCTGGTTGGTGTACCTGAAAGTGATGGGGAGAATGGAACCAAGTTGGAAAACACTCTCCAAGATATTATCCAGGAGAACTTCCCCAACCTAGCAAGGCAGGCCAACATTCAAATTCAGAAAATTCAGAGAATGTCACAAAGATACTCCTTGAGAAGAGCAGCCCCAAGACACATAATTGTCAGATTCACCAAAGTTGAAATGAAGGAAAAAATGTTAAGTGCAGCCAGAGAGAAAGGTCGGGTTACCCACAAAGGGAAGCCCATCAGACTAACAGTGGATCTCTCAGCAGAAACCCTATAAGCTAGAAGAGAGTGGGGGCCAGTAGTCAACATTCTTAAAGAA